TGGCTGACAAGTGAGTCACAAGTGTGATTTAAAGCCTGCTTGGTATTGTGGCAATCTCTATAAATATGGATGCCTGTTTTTGGAGGGAGCTGGGAAGGGTGGGGCAGGGTCCAATCAGATTAGTGATCTAGGCCAGATAAGGGAAGTAGGTGGTGAACCATTGTGTAAAAGTACTGTATATGTCAGCAACTAACACAATATCCTGTAAGCATTTGTCCGGACTTCTAGATTTCAAAACCAAGTATATATGCCTCATGCAGCCTTCTAAATAGTTTTCTCTATTTATTGGAGTCACCAAATAACTATTCCTGCCCAAATATATCAGTACCACCCCACCTCCCCTGCAACCATACACAGCTCCTTCAACTACTCCTACCTGGCTAAGTTAATGGAACCTATCTCACTGGGCTATTAGGACACAAGCACCTTTTTGTGGAAAATATACTCAGAGTCTTTCCCAGATAGATTCTCATAAAAAGCAAAACAAAAAGAGGGAGGGGAAAGGAAAAGAGAATCGATTAAATTTCTCAATGGGCTCCATGAAGAAGTCTTTTATATGTGAAGGGGAAGAGAGGATTCTTTCAGGAAGGTGGCAATTAATAGACTTGTTAGGAAACACTAAACTTAGCAAGTCAGGAGGGCCTTTGGATGAAGAAATGAAAAGCCATTTCTTAAGTTGATCAGAGTAGGGAGGCCTCAAAGGCAGGGTGGGGTGGTAGTGGTAGGCGGGCAGTGGTTCTATCACTGTAAGGAAATAATGTTTAGTAGAAAGTAAATACATTGGATTTGGAGCCAGACAACCTAGGTTCTAGTCCTTAACATATTATCCATGTATCTCTGGACCAATTACTTAACTTCTTTATTGAATCTCAGTTTCTGCATCTGAAAGTGGGAAAAAAATCCCTACTGTGCTACATGACTTCTCAGGTTTGTTGTGAAACTCAAATGAGATAACACATATAATATATATTAGATATATTAGTCATTTGTTATTATTTATTTCTTCACTGATAGGCAGCTGAAAATGGACTAGAAAAAGAGCAGATGACCCACAGCTCTGTTTAAGTTCCTAAGGCAGCCCATTTAGGAGACATAATAATGTAAGAAAAGAAAAAAAATTGATTCAGGCAAAGCTTGATAAGAATTCACTTCAATAGAAAACGATTTCAAATGTACCTAAGGATTTATTTTTCTTTATACCTTGCTCTAATTTGTATACCGCTATGCTTTTAGTGGGAATTATTGACTCTGGTTACTATTATAAACTTATATGAATTAAAACATATTTTTATAGGAATGATACACAGAAAATGGGTCACCCATTATGTCTTTGTCCCTTTCCATTATCCACAACTGAAATGAGTTACTCCAAACCATTCAGCTGTTAGACCATAACCCCAAATGTTATAAGGTATCATAGACTTTAGATTAGATACCAAACTCATTTAGTGAAAAAAAGATCACAAGTCTATTAACTGATTGTTATTAGACTTGTTTACATCCCTCATTTTGCTTAGTTATTGGTCCAGTCATCCTGTCCTGGCTGTATGACATGTTGCTACTGATGTATGGCGGTCCCTTTGCCTTGGGTGTGGCTAAATCAAAACATTTTCATATATTCCTAACGATGTCATCTCATCTATGTGACTATTGCCACCAGTGATTCAGATGAAAATCCATCTATACATGCCTTATCCTGTATGACTCTTACCATGTTTTCTGATAAGTTTAATAAAGAGGGTCTTTTCAGGGCCCTTCAAGCTAACTTTCTCCTGACGTTGTGAAGATACCAGTGGAGCTTATCATCTTTTTTTTTTTTTTTTTACATTTCCCTGATAAGATTATTTACTCCTGTTCTTCTTCCTTATTTGTTATATATTGTAACCTGTTCACGAGTACCATGTGCCTCTCCACATTGCCCTCTATGTGGTAACTCATTTTTAATTCTTCAATGACTGTAGTGTTTAGTGACTCACAGCCATAAAAAACACTGGTTGAATACTGACCTTAAAAAGATGGGCCTTTGTTTCTGGGAGAAGTTTGGGGTCACTGAAGAAGCTTTGCAATTATCTGAAGTCAATCCAGCTCACCCTTTACCTCCTGCTTAAATCTAGATCCATGCAATCCATTTATATTTAGTCAAGCTATATATGCTGTCAGTTCTATAGGCTCTTAATCCAATTATGCGGCATAATATGGACAATAAATATTTTTCATCCACTTAGTTTTTTCTCTGTTGGTGTTTAGGTCAAATTCTTCGGAGTGGTCATGAATCTCTTTCAAGATGCTTTGAAATATTCCAGTTTTTTATGCAGTCACCACATTGTCAGCTGCAAATAGGAACATCTGGAGGATTGGAATCTCCAGCTTGCATTTGATCCAGTGGCGTTGGCCCCCTTGCTGCTTATTGCATAAGAGATTCTATCTCCCGACTCCAGACATTTTCACTAACTGGTCCCCATTCCATTCCAGGAGAGTATTCTAACTCTCCCTCCTCTTCTCCACTTCATGGTTCCCTGGCTTCCTTCAAGTCCCAACTAAAATCCCATTTTCTTTGAGGAACCTTTCCTGATTCCCCTTAATGCCAGTGCTTTCCCTTTCTTAATCATCTCTAATTTATCCTGTATACATCTTGTTTGTATATATAGTTGTTTTTATGTTGTCTCTTCCATTAGACTGTGAGGTTTTTTAGAATAGGGATTGTCTTTTGCCTTAGTTTCCATAGCAGTTATCACAGTCCTCGGTACATAGTAGGTGCTTAATAAATGCTTACTATTTAACTGATTTATTGACTGATTTCTCTGAAATATCTGAATATTTTATCCAGGACACAAAAGACTGTGATTCTGGTTTACCTAGTTTTTATCAAAGAATTTTAGCCTTTTTTTTTCTCCTATTAATTTTCCTATCTCTGAATGCTGTTGACATTTCTTCTTCATGTCCTCTATGGCAAATATTTATTTTGAAAATGAAAATGAATTAACATTAATAAGATTAAATGAGATAACATGTATATTACTTTGCAAAACAAAGCGCTACATAAATGCTAGCTATTATTAATGTGGTTAATAGACTCAATCAACCAACAAGCATTTATTAAATACCCACTAAGTTCCTGGCACTGTGTTAGGTGCTAGACCTGCAAGGAAAAAAAAAAAAGAAATGCTACTTTTTGAAATAACTGAGGTGTCACAAAAATGTTGGAAAATCATTACTTTAAATGCCTGCTCAGTATGAAAGCCCTAAAATGTCACAATAAGACGCAGCTATCCTATGCAAGATGCCAAAAGGAAGAGGGGCAAGATGTCATGAACCTGGGCTAAGGAGTGGATCTATTACCTCCCTCCCCCCATCCTAATGAAGGTCTCAGCTGTGCTTTCTCTTCCTCTGTGAAATCATCCCTTCTTTTGCTGGTAAGTGTTTGTCGATTGATCTATTTTAGAATGTGGTGGTGATGGAATGAGAATAGCTCAGTTATGTATTTCCCTTCACAAGTACTCTTTCTCTGTTGGAGACTTCAGGATTAGGAGGGTGTGTAGTCAACCTCAAGAGATTTTTTGTGAGAGGAAGAGTGATATAGTGGATAGAGTTGCTAGGCTTCAAATCAGGAAGATGGGTTCAGTTCCTGCTCAGACACTTAACTATCTGTGTGACCCTGAAGACTTAGCCTTTCTGTATCTCAGTTTGCTCATCTATAAGATGATGGGTTTGGAGTGAATGACCTCTATCATTCTTTCCCACTCTAAATCTATGATCTGGTAGCCCTTCTCTTATCAGTGCCCTTGCTAAACTGTGTTGCCCAACCCATAATTTTTTCAGATGTGGAAACTAAGGCCAAGAGAATATAATTTGCCTAAGGTAACACAAACAGTAATGGAAAGCTCAGATATTAACAGCGGTCTTCTGTTTCCAAATTGGTTACCTTTCCCATTGTATCACACGAAAGCTGGGCAAATCACTTCACATCTCTGAAATTCAGATACCTTATCAATAAAATTATCTATAAAGTAATATTTCAGGAGAAGTACTTTAAAAGCCTCAGAGCATCCTGGCACTATTATCCTTGTGAGTTGTCATTGTTATTATTACTACCATTTCTAGGGTCTTTATTAAAACTCTATTAGGATTAGGGATGGCTTTAAAATGTTGTCCATGGCTATGGTGTGGACAATTGGAAAGGAATTCATCTTGCATCTTTCTCTTCACTGTCTTACAATTAGGTTCATTAGGAAACAATGGAATCCCTGTGCTGGGAGAAAAATGCACCCAAAGAAGTTTTGTAGTTAGATATGGCAATAAAAAGTAAAATGTAACCAGTCTAACATGTAACCACTAATTTATTTTCCTTTTTTAGGAGCTGATTTATACATTCTTTATTTTCCTGCCTTAAATGTCTTCCCCCCTTCTCTCTGCCAAAACAGTGAAGGCTCCAAAAGGTAATGAGGATATTTATGGTGGGCATAAGGAGGCTGTGGCATATTATCAATAAAGATGTATGCAAGAAGTAGTATAGATATTATATAGGATACATATATATTATACAGGATTTTATATATATATGCATAATGATTGAAAAGGTATGGGTGTATATATGTGTATGTATACATATATATATATGTAGATAGATAGATATATGTATATATACACATTTATGATTGAAAAAGGTGGTAGACCAATCATGTATCAAGGGTGTAGGACAGCAGATGGACAAGTTAAGTTTATAGTCATACTCATGGAATACTAAAAGATACAGAGGAAATCTTTGGGTAGATTTACTAAGAAAGATTTATTGGAGGACACAGATAAACATCTCACAGGATGAAAAGTGTGGATGGATTGTGATCTAACAGTGAGGGATTATCTCCATCAACGAAATTATGGATCTATTGAAGTCTTGAAATATAATAAGTAGACTATGTGTTTGTCTCATAAAATGTTTTGTAGATAAGAAAGTAGCATATAGATCAGTAATTATTGATGTTTTCTCAGTTGCTTTTTTTGAGCATTAATACAGTCTATTTTTTCCTTATGCTTTTGGTAGAATTTTCTCCTTCAGATATCTTACACATTGATTCCTTAAGTCCCTCACAATTGTGTCATCTCTAGGACAGATCTCCTTTATTTATGCTTGTTGTAATCCAGCTGATTTTTTTCACCTTGTTCTTCTTTATTGCTTTTTCTACCTCCTCTATAAACACATCTGGAACTGTGATGTCAGAGTTCAAGTATGGTGAATCTCTTGTCCTTAATGGTAAAAACAGTTTGTTATTAAAAAAATCACTGCAGATCTTTTCCATTTTTCTATCCTTTGTTGTCATTCATTGACCCTCTCACTAAACTTTCTTTAAATAGTTTCAACCCTCCACTAATTCTCTCTGCTTTATGAGATGATACTATTCATAACCTTATCAACATAAGATTACTGATTTAAAATGAGAAAGGACTATTGTGTCCTCACCCTTTTCCGTAAGGTATTACAAACGAGTTTATACTGCTGTGAGACATAGAGCACAGCAGTCTCTAAAGAACAAAGGACAATGGAAAGACACACAGTGGGTATGAGCAGGCTAAGACATATAACTAATATGACACTTTGGAGAACAGAAGTGAAAGATGCCATCAAGTAAATACATGATTAAAAAAAAGAGGATGGGACTGACCACTTTGCAAGCATGAAGGATAATAGGTGGCTCTCCATTGGGATTCTCACAACATCAGGAGAAAATGAATAAAAGTCCAGGATATATGGATGCTGGATTGAATTTATGGACAGATATGAGCATAAGTCAGAGAGAATGGGCAGGCCTGGATAGGTTGATGTCTGCATCACTGGAGGGAGATCAATGAAATTCCAGATCTATTTGAATATTTGAGTATATCTATAACCAGAGGACGAGCCTGAGTTTAGAGAAGCCTATAATCAGGAAGATGGCCACCAGGTAATGAGTTATTTTGGCAGCAGTAACATGTGAAGACTACCCAACCATAGTTGGGATGTACTTCCATTGTGGTTATACATGGAACTTTTGAAATATTGAAGAATTCTCATAAGCTGCCTACTTGGGTATGCTCAGGACCTATTGGAGCTACACTTTTTTCAGATCATGAATAATGTTAACTAGCATTTATATAGCATTTTAAACAGCATAAAGCACTTTATGTGTATTATCTTATTTGATCCTCATAACAACCCTATGAAGTAGATACTTTTATTATTCCAGTTTTACAGACAAGGAAACAGATAAGGCAGAGAGAAATGAAATGACTTGCCCAGGGTAACCCAGCTAGTAAGCATATGTGGCAGGATTTGAACTCAAATCTTCCTGTTTCCAAGGCCAACACCCTATCCATTGTGTCATCTAGCTGCTCTGTAAAAGAACAATTTGCACAGGCTTAACTAAGTTATTCTTTAGAATCCTCTTTGGTCTAAGTTTCATTGGTCAGTGATATCCAAACAGAAAGGAGAGAGAAAATGAGGCTGAGAGAAAAGCGGTAGAAATGAAGAGTAAGAGGGGCAGCTAGGTGGCGCAGTGGATAGAGCACTGGCCCTGGATTCAGAAGGGCCTGAGTTCAAATTTGACCTCAGACACATAACACTTACTAGCTGTGTGACTCTGGGCAAGTCACTTAACCCTAACTGCCTCACCAGAAAAAAAAAAAAGAAATGAAGAGTAAAAGGCAAAGAGAAGACGGATGGGGAAGGGCAGGAGAAAGAAAGAACTGAATAGAGAACATAGTACAGTAGAAAACACTGGATTTGAAGACAAATAGATGATGTGTGTTTGATTCCTGAATCTACTTCTTACTATCTATGTGGCCTTGGGAAAAATGCCTCAGTTTCATCATCTATAAAATGAAGGGCTTGGATTATATGATTTCCAAAGTCTCTTACAGCTCCAACCTTTATGAGAAAAAGAAAAGATAGGTTCCGGAGTAGCATAGGACCACCTGGTGTTGAGTAAATTGGTGAGGAGGAAAAGTGATGGTAGAACATCACTGGAGATTGCCCCAGGGACATGAGTGCCTCAGTTTGCTCAGGCCTACAATCTGCCTAAAAGACCAGACTGATTTCTAGGGAGCAGATTAGGCTCTGGGTACCCTAAGATGTCATATGGAATTACCTCAAACTCTATCCTGTCTTGTTCTCTAAGGGGAAAGCTATAGGCTACTAGCACTCAATAAGAGCACTTTCTTGCCATTCTTTCTTCCCTTCCCCTCCTCTCCAAACTCCTTGTTCCTGACTTAAAACCCAAGGGTCCAAGCAAAGTCATAAAGATTGTAAAGGTTTCAATAACAGCCCTGGAGATGCGCAAAGAGGGTCACTCAGTTTCTTTGGCAGAATTAGGGTACTTTTCTACAAAAGAGAGCTCTATTCACAGAAGCCCTAGGCCTTGTGGCTGGGATCTAGGCAGCAGAAACCCATGGCTCCCTCCTTCCTCTGTCTCCTGGGAAATGACAAGATCAGTAGCTTGCTAATGCCACCCTCCACCTGCTCCCTTACCTCCTTCACTGCCTCCAAGGCTCAGCGCATTCTGGCCCTGTTATCCTTTTGCTTCAAAGGGACAGCCATAGGAGTGTGGCCCGGGGGTAATCTAGGAAGCTGCTGGTAATTCTCTGCAAGCTCACCTCCTCCCTTCTTCCTGCTGTCATCCTTGAGCTGCTTTGATCATCACACAACCAGGAGATGCCTATTAGCAAAGGGGCTTGCTTGTCAGGATGGCACGGTTAGCGACAATTCTTGGAGAGACAGTGCAGTGTGGCAGGATGAAGCCGGCATCTGGAACCAGAAGACCTGGGTTTGAGTTCCAATTTTAGTAGTACCTCTGTATGTCCATGGACAAGTACTTTTACCTGTTGGAGGTTATGTTCCCTAATTGGTGAAATGAGAATAATAGCTTATCTACTTTACAGGACTCTTATGAACTAAGTGCTCTCTAAACTTCAAAGTGCTATATAAATGTAAGATGTTATTATTTTCCTTCAAAGAAATGGAGGGTTCATTATTTTCCCTATCCTCTGTATCTTCTTTCACTTCTCATTTTCCTCTGAATTCTCAGGAGCCAACAGCCCCTATCCAACCTGTTCTGTTTTAAGCTGTATCATCTAACTTAGCACCTTGTAAAGATAAATAAATGTTATGAGCTTCTGTACTGTGATAGGAGTGGACATGTAGTATGTGGAAAGAGTTCTGGGTTAGGATGCTGGAGACCTGGGTTCTCATCTTGATTCTGCTAAGAGATGCTTCCTGACTTTGGGCAAATCATTGCTTTTCCCAGACTTTGGTTTCCTCATCTGTAAAAGGAGGGGCTTGGCCCAGAAGATCTCTAAAATCCTTTTCAGTCCTAACATCAAGTTGTGGCCTCACATTTGAATAACAGGCTACCTGATAGAAAAGACTGGCAGATGGGCCACATGACATCATGGTCACCACATATGTGCCATTCTTCATGCTCTGGGGTGCTGCTGTAGTATAATGGAGCACAAACCTGACTCCATGACATGCCATCCTCACACTTTGATGAATGTACATTAAGCTCCTATTATGTGCTCAACCCCACTGGAATACTGTAGTACAGTAGAAAGTGCTGACTTTGGAAAGGCATGTAGTTGGTATGAGCAGCTTAACACATATAACTAATAAGGAAATTTGAAGAACACGAGTGAAAGATGCTATCAAAGAAATGCATGATTTAAAAAGAAGATGGGCTGGTTACTTGGTAAGGATAAAGGGTGACAGGTGGTATTCCATTGGTATCCTCACAATGTCAGGAGAAAATGAATAAAAGTCTAGGACAAAGGCACCTTGGGTTGAATTTATGGACAGATGCAATTAAGAGTCACATAGGATGAACAGGAATGGATGGGTTGTTATCTGTTTCATTGGAGGAAAATCATTGAGAAATCTAGGATTAAAATATTGGCTTTGCCACTTGCTACTTGTGTGACCAAGATATTTCACATCTTTGGGCCTCAGTTTCCTTATCTATAAAATAAAGGGGTTGGACTAAATTACCTATAAAGTCATTTCAAAATCTAGAGGTATTATCCTAATTATAAGGTACAGCTTCTTCCCTCAAGGTACTAAAAATCTAGTTGATGAGACTAGATTAAGTCAAATCAACAACTGAAAGAACAATACTAAAGTAATATGTAACCAAAATGCAAATTAGTATGCAGGACTGCATACATCAGGAATTTAGTAAGAGGAGATTAGCATTGTAGGCTGAAGTTATTCTGAGAAGACTTCAAGAAAGGGGTAGTCTTTAACTGGATCTGAAGGAAGTGGAGGAAGAAGGGGAAAACATTTCAGAAGATGGAGAGGGAATGAACATGGAAGAAAAAGATTGGCTGAATTAATGAGTGAATGAATGAGAAAAAATTTAAGTACTTACTATGGGTAGAGATATCTGCTGAATGCTAGGGACGCAAAAAGAGAAATAAGACTGACCCTGTTCTCAAAGACCTCATATTCTAATGAGGAGGCCAATATATATGTAGGAAGGTTCTACCTGCAAAGTCCAATGGAAAGATCCAGTGATCCTTATGATACAGGAGCAAGGCAGATAGATGGTAATGTATTTTCTTTAGTTTAATTTCCATTAATAACAGAATATCCATTTTTGATGGTGAGATGTTTAGTACTTGTCATGATTTTGCTATTGAAAACATTCTTTTCCAGATTTTTGTAGTGGTTACTTCTGAGATAGCACTGGCAAAGACAGATGTCAGATTGCATCTCCACAAAGGTTTTTTCCTGGATCATGGCTGGGTTTAAGGAGAGAGGCTAGAAGTAGGGCCAGTGATCTGGGGTAGAGCTGCTGTTCTTTTGCATTTAATTTTTAGTTCCAAATTCTTTCTCCCTTTACCCTCCCCCACTCATTGAGAAAGGCAAGAAAGATAAAAAATCATTACAATTATCTATAGACATACAAAACATATTTCCACATTAGCCATGTTCCAAGAATTAAAACCAAGAAAAATAAAGAAATAGAAGGAAATATTCTTCAGTCTGCTCTCTGAGTCCCTTTCTGGAGGTAGATATCATGTTTTATCATGAGTCTTTTGGATTTGTGGTTTGTCATTGTGATGGTCAAAGTTCCTAAGTCTTTCAAAGTTATTTGTCTTTATAATATTGTTGTTTTGTATAAATTGCTCCTGGTTCTACTTATTTCACTTTGTATTAGTTTATGCAAGTCTTCTCAGGTTTCTCTGAAACCATCCCTTTCATCATTTCTTTCAGCACAATAGTATTTTATCACATTCATATACCATAACTTGTTCAGTCGTTCCCCAACAATTCTTTGCTAACATAAAAAAATGCTATAAGCATTTATGTACATATGGGACTTTTTCCTCTTTCTTTGATGTCTTTGGGGTGGAGACCTAGGAGTGGTATCTCTGGGTCAGAAGAGTATGAATAGTTTAATATCTTTTGGGGCATAGTTCCAATTTGCTTTCCAGAATAGTTGGACTAGTTCTTAGTTCTGCCCACTGTACATTAGTGTACCTATTTTCTCATATCCCCTCTAGCACTGGTCATTTGTCATCTTAGCCAATCTGATGGATGGATATAAGGTGGTGCCTTGGAGTTGTTTTAATTTGCATTTCTCTAATTATTAGTAATTTAGAACATTTTTTAATATAACTATTGATAACTTTGATTTCTTCCTTTGTAACTTGCATATATATACATATATAGATATACCTATATATGTCTATGTGTATATATATACACATATATAGATGTCGCTATATAGCTATACTTTAACCATTTATTAATTGGGGAATGGCTCATATTCTTGTAAATTTGACTCAGTTCCCTATATATTTTAGAAATGAGATTTGTATCAGGAAAATTTGCTGCAAAGATTTTTTTCTCAGCTTCCCTCCCTAGTTTTAGCTGCATTGGTTTCATTTGTTCAAAACTTTTTAAATTTTGTATAATCAAAATTATCCATTTTACTTCCTGTGAACTTTGCTATTTCTGGTTTGGTCATGAACTTTCCTCTTATCCATAGATCTGACAGTTAATTTCTTCTGTGCTCCTCTAATTTGCTTACGATGTTACCCTTTTTGTCTAAATCATATATCTGTGTTGAGATTATCTTGGTATAACTTTTGAGACGCTGGTCTATGCCTAGTTTCTGTCAGACTACTTTCCAGTTTTCCCAACAGTTTTTATCAAACAGTGACTTCTTACCTCAATAACTGGGATCTTGGGGTTTATCAAACACTAGGTTATTGTGCTCGTTTGTTTCTGCTTACGACGTACCTAAGCTCTTCCAGTGGTCAACCTCTTTTTGTCTTCCCTAGTACCAAATTGTATTTATGGCTGCTGTTCTGGGGCTTTGAGACTTAGCTGCCCATTTGGTTGTTGGTACTATAACATTAAGAGAAGTCCTAGGCACAACTGGGACGAGGTAAAATACATCATGAGCAATCTGGCCATGCTTCCAGAGGTTCCAGGGGTGGCTGGAAGAAATGCTGGCAAGGATTTTTGAGGATAAGAAGGTTGATGTCATGGAAGGTCAATAATTAAGGCAGTCTACAATTTTGTTGCCTTTATGCAGATTTGGTTGTTTGAGAATAAAGATCAGTCAAGCCTTGGTAACCTCTTGCAGTTTGAAAAGGGCAAGCTTGCATTATTTAGGTTTTCTAGAAAGTTTTCCTGGTACAGGTATATAATGCTGTGTTTAATGTATTGATGAGAGAATAGGCAGCTGGGGAAGTAACTGGCTGCATTTGTGTGTGTGTGTTTTTTTTTAAACTGGAGTGTCTTCTGTGCTATGGCTGTTCATGGTGCTTTCACTGGTTATTGGGTAGGGAGCAGTTCAGTCTTACGCTAAGGGGTGAGTGTGCAGTAATATGACCATTCAATCACAGGCCAGGCAGTATTTCTGATGTCTCAGAACACTCTGGGGCCATTTTAGGAATTCCAGGTGTAATGTGTGGAATAATCACTGACTATCCTGACTAGAGCAGAGAGTTCATGTTGGAGAGTTATAAGAATAGGCAACATTTACATAAAGCCTTCAAATTTGCAAAACACTATATACATATTATCTTATTTGACCTTCATAACAACTATAAGGTGAATGCTACTATCCTCATTTCACAGATAAAGAAATTGAGGTTGAGAGAGGTTAAGTGACTTGTTTAGGATTACTTGGCTTTTAAGCATCTGAGGCAGGATCTGATCACAGGTTGGAGAAAATGTCTAGTCCACTATCTTGTTGGGGCAGCTAGGTGGCACAGTGGATAGAAGCCAGGCTTGGAATCCTGAAGACTCATCTTTCTGAGTTCAAATCTGGCCTCACACACATATAGCTGTGTGGCCTTGGACAAGCCTGTTTGCCTCAGTTTCCTCATCTGTAAAGTGAGCTGGAGAAGGAATGGAAAACCACTGTAGTATCTTTGCTAAGAAAACCCCAAATGGGGTCATAAAGAGTCAGACATGGCTGAAAAATGACTGAAATACCATCTTGTTGCTCATGTGACCTAGAAGTTGGGGGGATGAAGTTGAAAAGACAAGATGGGGCCAGTTGATTGAAAAATTGGAGTGCTAGGTTAATGTATTTGATTTGATCCAGTAGAGAGAATGACATATCAGGCATCAGTGTGAAGGAAGGACTGGAGGGGAAGGAAGCTAGAAGCAAGGACACTATCATTGTGATGTAGGAATGCCATGAAGGGGGCCTGAACTAATATGGTAACAGTGGGAATAGAAAGGAAGTTATAAGTCCAAGAGTCATTGTGAATGAAGACTTGTAAGGACCA